TGTAGGGTGAAATGCTTCTGACCTTCCTAAATTCGTTTTGTGCTCGAAGCCAAAAAAGTGGGGGGCCAATAAGGTATGTGCTTGACAGATTCTATGGCCTCCCTCCCCTCTCAGTGGCGGGGATAACGCCTGGGCAATAATCGTGTAGAACAAGCCAGACGATAATCGAAAGAAGTCTGTATTAGGGAACAACCAGTGTCCTCTTGCCTTCTCTCTGTTGGGTTCCCTGGAGACTGTTTAGAGCGGAACACCGAGCGTGACGGTGGCTCGAAGCTCGGATTAGTGCTCGTAATTCGATAAAGTTTTCGGAGACGGGGGTTGTGCATGGGGAACGAGGGTGGAGTTTGGCAAAACATTCTCTCGTTATCAGCGTATGCCGCCCACCGCCGCCAAGGTGGCGGAGCGACGCCGGCAAGAACCACTCGATACATCGATCCGTATGGTTCTCCGTCCGACTTGGCCGACTCGAATCGATTCGGGCTCGTTTCCTCGCGACGGAACGCCACGACTATATTCGCGCGGCCTCCCGCCGCCTTTGGTTCGTGGAAACATAGACAAATCCGACGGAATGCGTGCAATAAAAGGGGCGGTGGGGGACTGGAAGGAAGTCTCAAATCGTTAACGAAGAGGCAAGAATTAACCGAGTCCAGTCGCGTAGAAGGCACGATACAAAAGGTGAACGATTCCACGACGAACAGGGGAAGGAAAAAGCCCAGTAATGGCGCGTGTCAAGCGAGAGCAGGCCTCGCGCTTAATTAAGATGTCTCCCGCAATTAGGTGCCTTTACGATCGGCATAAAACCCGATCATTCCGTGCACGCACGAATCAGGTTCCTTCGTTCCAGCGGAATGATCTCTCCCCCTCTCTCTTTCTCCGTTTTCAGTCGGTCGATAATCATTGTCGTCGTTGTCGTCGCCACCGCGATCCATCGGCCGGGGAGAACGGGGGTGCGCGCGTGTGTACCGGTTTCAACTCTCTCGCGAATGTGCAGAGACATTTCCGGTGTTCGCGACAAACAAGTCTAACCACCACGATTTTCCTCTCGTTGTTCCAGCAAGGATGTCGAGCAGCGGCGTGACGAGCGGCCCGGTGAGTCAAGTCTGTCGACCGCACTTTCACAGTTCGGTGCTGCACCCTTGGCTCTCCGGCAGCGGGGCGGACACCTCGAAGACACCATGGGGATTCCCGACGACGACGGGCTCGACCGGCGGCTCGGTGAACGACGACAAACCCCAGAGTCCGTTGGGTTCGTCTTTGCCACCCAGCACCGGAAGCTTGTCGAGTCACGGAGGAGCCGGTGCAGGTCACCATCTGTTCTCCTTTCCACCGACGCCCCCAAAGGACGCAACCCCCGACAGTATCACCGCTAGCACAACGTCCAGCACGAACAACAACAACAACAACAGCGCGAACAACAACAACAACTCTAGCAATCCCCTGTCCGGTTTGGGCGGAGGCGCTAGCAGCGAGTACCAAGCGGCGGTGGCACACGCTGCGGTTATGGGCGCGTTCATGCACCATCAGGACGCTCTGGGCGGCTCTGGAGCAAGTTCATGCGACGTGAAACCCAGCGTGATGCTTGGACATCATCACGGCGCGCCGTCCCCGCCGCATCAGCAGCACAACGGGACGACGAACGCCGGGAATGGCGGGAACGGGACGAACGGGGGCGGTGGTAGCGGTCAGGTGAAGCAACGCGAAGGTAATAACCAATCGGGCAGCCAACAGGCGAGCACCACGCAGCAACAACAGCAGCAACAACAACAACAACAACAGCAACAGCAGCAACAAGAGGCTGCTGCGTATCAGGGAAACGGTGGTGGTGGTGGTGGTGGCGGTGGTGGTGGTGGCGGTGGCAGCGGTGGAGGTGCCAGTTCACCGTCCTGTAGGGACAACTATGCAGCCGCTGCTGCTGCCGCCGCCGCCGCAGCCGCGGCCGCGGCTGCCTCCAACACCCACCATTCCGGATCCCAGTACGATCCGGCAACCAGCGCGTATAACATGTACCAGCACCTGCAGTATCCTAGTAGCACCCACCACCATCACCATCACCATCATCACGGCGCCTCCTCGTCGTCTTCTTCGTCTTCGTCCCATAATCCGCACAACGGGACCGCCGCGGTCTCCGGTCTGTTCGGGCATCATGGCGGGCCCGGGGCCGCGGCTGGGAACGCGACCGGCGTGGCCGGCGGCGTTAACGTCGACTCGAAGTTGTTGGTCGGTCACGCGCACGCAAACACGCCGAGTTCGCCGTCCGCGCAGCAGCAGCAGCAGCAGCAAAAGCCCAGGAACAAGTCGAGGACGTCCGCCGGTAAGCGGCACCGCCTACCAACCTTCCCTCGATCTCCCAATTTTTTTTTCGTTTTTCACCATGTTTTCTTCTTTTAAGCGAGATTCACAGTACGGTGATTCCTCGATGAATGCGACGACAGCATCGGTAATATTCCCACCTCTGGGGGGGAGTTCCCCGTGGAACCAAACAAAACAGAATAAATTGAAATTTAATTAGAGGCTTGGCTTCGAGTTGAATACAAATTTATTAGGGGCTGGGTGGACTCGAGTACGTCGCACTTATCGAGACATTGCTGTAGCTGTCATGGGATACGGTCGAATTACGTCGAATCCATAGACATGGAAGTATAGACTGTTTAGAACAGTGCTGGCCAACTTGGCTCTGTGGAGCCAACAGCCATCTGTCGTTACCGTGGAGTAACAGAGACAAGAATCTGACCTTCTTTGTTCTATGAAGGCACACGACGTAAACGAAACATTGGAAGGGGTAGCAAGCGCGTGAGGGGCCCGTTCCGAGAGTCCAGTTGGACAGCACTGGTTTAGAATGATGTTTAAAAAGAGGTAGATAGCTTTCGGAGGACTTGGTATCTTTTTTTTAAGTTTATGTAGTGAGGTTCTGGGGGTCTGGATTTTGAGTGATTGACTAAACTATATTAGAAAGAGATAGCAAGTCTTCCGAAAGTAACTCGTCCCTTTTTAAAGTCAGCCCAGCCTGACGTGCAGTCTATATTTCTATGTCTATGGTCAAATCCGGCAGCGGTCTTTATCGCTCACACGTAATTCAGTGAGAGAAATATAGGCTGAATTCAGATTGATCCTGATTCGACCTTGCCTTTGACCGCTTAGTTGTGAATCTGGCGTTATTCTTTCTGTTTTTTTTTTTTGTTTTTCTTCTGTTCATCCTTATATTTTTACGGTTTCGGGTATTCAACGGTTTGGTTGTTTCTCGGTTGCTGTTCACCATTTGTGATCCGTCCACGACCGCCGAACGAATTCCTCGAGTATAATCGTTTGCTTCGTTCGTATCGAAGAATGAATGTTGGGTTTGTTTAGGTCTAGTCCTGGACGGATCACAGAGGGGTACGTGCAGTCGATTTCCGGTTTTCGTATGCGAGAACTTTTACACCGTTTGTTACGCCTATTCCATCCAGTTGGAACAGAAACGGTTCCGGTAATTGGTTGAGAAACGAGTCCAGGAATAGAGAACGTGGACGAACTTTGTGTTTTCTGAGGTTTTCTCACCGCTTCGAGTGTTGCGCGTTTTGTAACGAACAGACGGGTAATATTCGAAACGGGAACGACTGCACCACCCTCGTATATTCACCTTCTCCTTGGTTTCTTTCTTTCACGAGGTTTGCTTGAATGTGTCGGTCCCAGCGCACGCGATGCGCCGGAACCTATGCATATTTCACCTTTAGTTTCAGTTTTCTCGTTTTGCTTCGATTCTTTGGTTCTTCGTACACCGTTTTCTTTCGCAGACTCGAACCTCCCTTTATTCGTGTCAATTGGAAACTCTCGACAGTCGAATATCGAGGGTATCGATGGACGTTCCGAATATCGAGAGTCTCGAAGTCTCTGTTTCTTACCCAGTTTTCTTTTCGTCTCCATCCCCCGAGGAGCTTTTGGTGGCGGTCGTCTTTCGCTTACAGTTCGTTGAATCAAAACGTTAAAAAACACATATTACGTTTTTTCGTTTTACCTCGAGTCTCGAGAGTTTCAGTGTTTTACCGACGAGAGGGAGACAACACACACATATACACACCGATATCGTGTATTTTTGTATTTTTTGCCTCACCGATGTGTTTTTTGAGTGGCACCCGCGATACGTCGAGCGTGAACAGCACCACACCCGACTAATTTTTACGAGAGGGTCAAGGCAGGGACGATGAAACCGGCCTCGGTACTTTCCTGACCACGAATATCATACGAGAGAGTTTCTCAGTTTACGATGTTCGTGGCTTCGATAGTGTGGAAGACGCGTTCACCTCTCTGCGCACCTTTCTTTATACACAGAGTTGAGGCGTGTAAGTCGACACATGGAACTACCATAAAAACAAAGCATTGCGTAAGAAAGTATTTTAGACAAGAGTTGTCTGGTTTTTAGGGGGAAGGAGGAAGAAGGACATTATTTATTTTTAATCCGGTGAACGTTTTGAAGGTCAAACTCGTTTTTTTAAATGCGTAGCTATATTTTGTTTAACAGCTGATTAACACACGCAAAAAATAAACAATTTTTGTCTGAAACGTTATTTCAAATTAACTTTTTATCCATTTAAAAAAACGAAGTTGACCTTTTAATAACTTTCGAAACACCATCAGATTAAAAATAAATGTCATTCTCCCCCCCCCCTCCCTCGAAACCCTCGTCTAAAATACTTTCTGATGAAATACCTTGTTTTTATGATACTTCCATGTGTCAACTTAAACGCCACATCCTGTGTATATTTGTCTCTCTGTATAGATAAACCTACCCTTATAAATGCCCAGGTGTAAAACACGTTCACACACGCGCGATATAGCACACACACACACACGTACCTCTTTTTTTCTCGATGTGGTGTGTCTACATGCTGCCGTTTTTTGATTTTGTCACAGCAAATCTCCCTCTCGAGAAAGAGTCTGCGGACCAACGAATTGTTCCGCGCGACGTTTCTTTTTCGAAACATCGCCGTTACGGTGGAAACGAACCAACCACCGTCTGCTGTCGTTCTTATCGGAGAATCAGTGTCTCGTACACGGAACAACCGTATTGTTTCGGATGAATGTTCAGTAGACGGACGCAAGTCACTGGTGCAACGGGCATTTGGGATTCGCGAGCGGAAAATAGCGCGATCGAGGGGGCATCGATGCGAAGGCAAAAAGGTAAAAGGAGGATAGAAGAAGGAAGGGGAGAGGGGGGACGAATGAAACGGTTGAAAAATGCCGGATACGTTGATTGCGGTAATAATAGTCGGTCTGCGGCGAGGACGGCGTGGTAAAAATCCTAATTCCGGGAACAATGGCCCGACTTCGCGGCGTGGAAGTCCGCTAATTAAATCGACTTACGACACACTACGCGCGGCAGCCTCGACGACGGTGAAGCCAGACGATTCCGTGGATATCAGGCCTGTTTAAGGCTGCCTGCTGCCCGGCTCGTTCGAATGGAAAAGGACGGTTTTCCGCGAAAGGAAGACTCTGGAAAAACGTGTCAGTCACGAGCAGCCTAAGTAAATCCCCTCCCGGGTGGATATTAAATTAATTCGGGCGGTCCTCTTTTGATCGTCGGTACGCGGGTGAGGAAGAAGGGGTCTGTTTCGTTAATTAACACTAGGTTTACGGAACAGCAGCGACTCCTGGAAATGAGGGGTTCCTGGGATGATTCGAAACAATTTTTTCCTTAGCGAAAATGGTGTCCGAGGCTTGGTTAACGAGATATTAACGAGAAACCCCGACCAATCAGCGCGAGTCTGCCGGCCGAGCTCTGATTGGTCGGGGATTTTCGTTAATATCTCGTTAACAAAGCCTCGGACAACATTTTAGCTAAGGAAAAAGTTGTTTCAAATCGTTACAGGAACCCCTCATTTCCGGGAGGAGAGGCTATTTTGGGACACCCTGTATACCTACTTCTACGAGCACCTGTCAAATTGACTGGTAAACGAAATACGCATTTTATTTAAAAAATCGATTTATTCAATTTAACTTGTTCACACTGAGTTTTATATTAACGATATCTACCAATTTCTACTGCGCATACGCAGATTGAAATACTTGGGTATATATGTTTTTAGGTACATTTTATACAAAGAAGTTAGCAGTTTAGAATAGGTATATACAGGAGTCTGTGGTTTGGTGTCGATTCGGACACGTTCTTTCCAGAGAATTCATTTTTCACAGTCGTTTGCACCAGTGACTCGTAGTTGGAAATCATATTCTTTGGTTCGTGTGAAAATTGATTTCGATCGCGACGTTTCGGCCACGTCGATCGCGTTCGGAGAAAAAGGATCTCGTTTTTTCTCTCGGTCCCAACCGAGAACGATTCGGTGCAGTTTACACAGGAATCTTTTCCAGTAAGGGCCACCGCTCGGTCTGGGTTCGATCGAATCCCGAGGAGGATGTGCAGCTCGAAGGACGATTCGAGAGACGCGGATTCCACGACTCGTGAAATATTTCCATCGGTCCAAACATCCCACCGTTGTTTTCCTTCCTTGTCCCGTGGTCCAACGAGTTTTCAGATCGCAAGACGCATCTCGACGAACGAAAGAACGCGATAGAAATGTCTGAAAATCGTTGGCCCCGTCATCCTCGTGCGTTTTGGTGGAGGGTAGACTAACAAAGCCTTCTCTGATTCCTTCTGAAACGTTCCCCTTGCTATAATATTAACAAGATGGATCTTTATTCGATCCCACGTGTCATTCGAACGGCCACGGTCCTAAAAATGAGACTCTGCTTTTGCTCTGGTAATCGCTTGGTATGGTATGTCTGCAACTGCATGCGAGTTCCAACACCAAATCTGTAAAACTGTACTCTCGCTCCTCTATCGCGAGGACGTTCTGGCTCTTCGAAGACTCTCGTCGGACATTTTCGAAGAATTCTGTTGGCTTTGAAGGTAACAAAGCTTGCTCGCGAATACGAATGTTTTGTCAACCGACGGGAATTCGAAGAGGCAATGCACGCGTGCTTTCCGACCGCGTCCGTCGAACAGTCACAGGATCGAATTCTTTCGATAGAGCTGAAAACATGCCTCGAGAATATGAACGAACTTGCTCGCCTAGAATTCGATCGGCTGTTCCACGCTCGCCACCGAGAGCTCCACGACCAGATTAATACAGCTGTTGTTTCTTCGGTGGAATTCCAAACAGAGGGTCGCGAGTGCGTGAACTGTGGCGCAACCTCGACGCCACTTTGGAGACGGGATGGTACCGGCCACTATCTGTGCAACGCCTGTGGACTTTATTACAAGATGAACGGCCAGAATCGACCCCTCATCAAGCCGAAACGACGCCTGGTAAATACCTAAGCTGAACATTTTACTCTTGTTATTAAGCGTTCGTCGTTCGAGCGAATTCAGAGAAGGATCGAAGACGTGTGTCTTCGTTTGGGTAGTCGATCATTCGGGATTTTCTCGAGGAAAGTGATGACCCGGGGTAATATTTCTAGACGGATCAGGTTCTAGATATCTGTCGCGTGTTTCGATATTCCTCGATCGAGTTGCACGCGAAACTGGTCCGATCGTCTGTCCCCGAACGTAGGATTCGCGGAAAAAGCCCCGGTACACCTGGCTGACTCGTAAAACCGAGTCCTTGATCGTTTCCTTCTCGCGTACCGAGTCGCACATACTTAATTAATACACGAAGCGTTGTACACGTTTCTCGCGATACGCAGATGCAGTCATCAGAATGCAAGATAAAACAAGGCCAAGTTAATTTCCTGTGTGCACGACGATTAATATTGTACGGAACCCATTCTTAGTCTCCGATCCTCTGCACCGTCTCTTCAGAAGAGTGTCCAGTCGGAAATGTTTTATAAATGTTTAACGAATTGTCCGACGAACGGTGTGGAAAGCCTGGAAAGTACATCCTCGAAGGTGTAGAGAGGGATCATAGGGTATTCGGTATCGCGGCCTACCTCGAGGAATTATTCGAACGCGTTACAAATGGAAATTCGCTATCGAAGCTGGATTAGGGGGTATCGGAAGAATACGAGGGTGGGGGGTTGGGGACGATCGATAACCCCGGGAACGAACGGTAGCCGGGGGAGTTTCGTGCGACCGGCTCGTAGAGCTCGTGCGAATTCGATCTACTTTCGTCGAGCAGGCTGGCACCTACGCAAACGGAATAGCTCGGTCCGATACAATGCCGCGGGAATACGATATCCACCTCGTCCTCCCTTCCCTTCGTTTCGTTTCCTGAAACGTGTCCGACACCGACACGACTACGATTGTCTCTAACTCCCCCCTCACGTAAAATAATTTCGTACGTTCCCGCGAAAGTTTGAAAGGGAAAAAAAAAAACTGCTGGTGATTAGTGTCTGTTGGTGATCGTGGTAAATCATATTTTTGCTGCATTCCAAGAATGCAAAAGCGCGTGTATACCCGGTGACGTTTCACTATCCCTCTCCGTGCACTTTCTCTCTGCACGCGATAGAGCAAAACCGACGGATTCACGTGTATATTCTTTTTCTTTTTGCTCGAGTTATTCTCCTAATTACTCGGCTCGCGCGCAAACGAAATTTATTAATCGTCCCGTTTCTTGTTGCCGTCGCTCGCTCGAGACGGAGGGAAGTCCACCGGAGCAAACACCTGATTAAGTCGCCCGCATTCGACGTGAATCAGAAGGGCCGACGACGTTTTCTCGACGGAGTTTCAGAACCAGTCCAAACATTATGACAGAACGGCGAACGGTTCCGCCCACCCATCGGTCTTCCGAGACGACGCAAACGCGTGGATTGGTTCACGCAATGCACGGACCCACCGTGCTTTGCCTTCCATAAAATATGCAACGTGCGGTTCGTCGCGTGTTGTCACAGTTTCGTCGAAGTCGTAATTATCCTCCCGTCATTTCGTGAAATCAGCTACACTCGGTAACCGCGTTTCCTCGGGGCGTTAATAATTCAACGACGGAAAGATGGCGCACCGCGATGCAGAAACGTTCAACCCGCTCGATTAACCGGGGCGAGTTCGAGGTAACTCAGCGAGGGGTAAAAGCAGAGAGAGAGAGAGAGAGAGATGAGGAGAGTCAAGGGACGGGCGAACCCTCCCAAAAAAAGGAGGAGCACGGGGGCTCCCCATATGCTTTTCGCACAATATGTCGCATTTTTACGGGGCGAGCATGGGAGCGAATCCGGTCACAGATGCGACGAAAGGAGAGAAAGAGGCCCGCCCGATACGATCTGCGAAACAAAAGCCGTCGGCACCACACCACCAGGTATACACACAGCCCCCCCCCCCACCCTTTGAAAATAATAAAGTCGTGGCACATATATCGGGGGCCACGTGGAAACGCATTGTGCGGACGTGTCTCTTCTCCACGGAAATTCCTGCCGAGCGTTATTATGAACGGGTACACGGGGTCCGACGACCGTGCTCGAAAGCCCCGATGGGCCAGATAGCAAGGGTTGAAACCCCCTCCGACTTCCATCGCCGCTCGACCATGCCTCGGTCCGCCATCTTTGATCCGTCGCGAAGATAGGCCGCGGAACAGCTGGGAAGTTTTCGGTAAAATTTTTTTCTTCTCTCCTACGTTCCGTCGTTGAGTCTCTCTCGCTGTGTTTCTCTTCGTCGGGGCACTCTGTCCTAGAAGGGGGAGGGAAGTTAGCAGCGGTCGATGCACCTCAGAGTTTTATTTTTTTAACCATCAACGAAGGAAACGAATTTCTCCGTGAGTCGAATGATTTCTTTGAGATCTAGTTCTCTAGAACTTCTCCAAGATCTCTGAGAATCGGTACGCGAGGAAGAGGAAGCGACGGCCAGTGGATCGGTTGGTCGGAGGGACGAAGAGAGAAGGAGGTTAACCTTCTGCGTGGAATCGCTCGTTAACGGCTGTCCTACACGCTCTCCCTTTTCTTTTCTCGTCCTGGCGATCCTTATCGCGGCTACGCCATGCCACGCCGCGCAGCGCAACGTCGCCGTCGTCGTCGTCGTCGTCGTGCAACCGCGGCGCGATGCTCGTCGAGTTACGGTCCTCCGGGTGTTCCCGGACATTCCAGGCGGCAATAGAAGCGCCAGCGATAGTCGCGAGAGACCCGTTAACCCCTTCGAGAAAGTTTTTTCTCGACGAAGAAAGAGGTGTCTAGGAAAGGGTCACTTTTGGGCGAGAAGTTTTGGCCGCGATGCGTTTCTGTACGAAAGAACTGTTCCGATCGAGAAAAATACAGATTCCTCGCGATTATTGTCCCGAACGCGCCGAGACAATATTCTTGTAGGGAGCAATGCTTCCCTGGTAAATTTGTTTTCTATTTGAATGGTTCCACGCCCCCCCCCCCTCCCAGTAGTGGGGATGACGCCTGGACAATAATCGTGTAGGACAAGCCAGTCAATGACCCCGACGCCGTGGTTTTCTACATCGATCCAAGCGGGTGCTTTCGCGAAAACGTCTGCTTGATTTTCCTCTTGTTCGGAAGAGAGAGGTTTCCCTCCGGGGACGAGTCGTTGAGACTGAAAGCGAATCGAGAAGTTTTCCCTGGCGCGTTCGCGTTAATTCACCGTTCGTGCGACTCGCAACAACTTTCCACACCATCGGGATTAATTATGGAAACGATTCTCGCCTGCGAATCAAGCCTCGTGCTCGGAGCGCGTAACGCGCCCAATGTTTTATCGTTCTCTGTTTCGGAATCGAAAGATTATTTCTCAGAATCAATCGGTAAGATCAATACTTCCATCTGCCGGATACCGCGAGAGTAACGTGTACACCGACGAGCAAACTCGGCTTCCGCTAGGGGAAAAAGTCAGGTAGGCGAAGGGCCTTCTACCATTTAGTTTTGGCAATTACTGAAATTTATGCCAAATTAACATTCGGTTTAATATTTATTTCAATACCTGAGATAAATTTTGACAAATGGTAGGTAGCTCCTTTTCTTACGTCACTTTTTCCCCTGGTGGAAGACGAGTTTGCTCGTGGATGTATACTTAAAACTACTGTAATTAGTGTCATACGATGTTTTTCTTAAACTTTTTTATAAATTTTCCCATTAATGGAAATAATTAATGGTGCGTTCTTCGATCACCTGGAGACACACGGTCCAGCGGAAAAGTCGGTGAATTATCGTTCGAGGGGGCAGGGGGACCGCGCCGTCGCGTCGTGGAATAATTAAATCCCGACGTACGGCGCCGGTTAATTATAATTGCGGGGAACAAAAGGGTAGCGTAACGATCCCAACCAGGAGAGCAGCACGGTTGTGGTCTGTGGTCCATTAAAATTCACCGGAATAAATTTCGAGGCGGTCGCGCGCGAGCGGAAAGGAAAAGAGAGAACGAGAGAGGGAGAGGGGAAGAAAAAAGGAAGGCGCCTCGTTATTTCCCTAGCTCCGACGAGAGAGCCGCCTCCTGGATTTCGTGAGATCGCCACCGTTGGTGCTTTATGAACAGCACACGCAGGAGGCGGCGGTGGCCGTGGTCGGGGGCAGAAACGGCGACTGAATTATGTACCAGATGCAAATGTCGTCGTATTGTCCGGTGCCGTCGGCCGTGCTCCATCCATCTTTCAGCTTCCTTGAAAATTCTACTCATGAGAGACGAGATTTGCATCCGTTCACACTTCGAATACGTCGCTGCTCGCGTCCAGATCGCCACCGAATCTCTCCATCTCTCTTGTTTGCTTCTCCTCTTTTTCAATTTTTGTTGCTAATCGACGTATCGACACGGTCGTCGAAGCCTACGAAAATCCTCTTGCGTTACTTCTTACGGTCCCGAATCCCCTATTATCGTTGGTCCGAATCAGGAATTGGAATGATCGTTTTGCAATTTCAAAACTCTCCGGGCTCGGATATTATCGATCGTTTAAAGGTGTGATCATGATCCGACATTGTTGGGAGAGCTCTTGGTTAACTTGTCGATGAACTACTTCCTCATCGATTTCGATGATTTTTCAATGTGTTGTAGAAATCGACAATCTGAGAACAACTGTTTCCTTTCATGAAAACGTCGGACGGCCCTAGTTTCCGAGATATTCGCAAAGAACTCTCGGGGACCTACCTCCGATTATCTTGACCTTGACATATGTTGTTGAGGTCATCCTCCTAAGTGACCTTCGGAAGGTTTTAACCGCCGGTTGTTGTTTCTTAAAAAATTATTTCATAAACAGTTTTGTACGAATATTCATCCTGGCAATAAGTAGAAACGGAATGCAATAAATAAACGTGTGAACCAAGTCACCACCCTAGTGTTAACCACGCGCCCCAAACAGAAAAGTAGTGGTACCGACAGTTTTTATTTTCGTGAAGGAAAAAGTTATAATGAAAAATGGTTGAAATCGGTAAGGAAGTAGTTCTCCGACAAGTTCACCGAG